TAAATCAAACTTTAGCTTTATTTCAAACAAGCTTAGCCTAATAGGACTATCAGAATTGCTTAAATATCTCTAATCCAACCTAAGTAATCCAGGATTCAATGTTTCTAGTTAGCTATTTTAGAACCATGAGCATTTAGAACATCCTATTAATAAGTATCAAAACTAGCAATCCTATAGTTGGGGCTAATCCCTCTAATCTATTTCAACCCTAAATCTAACAAGTAGACTACTCAGACATAGCTAAGCAGCTCATAACACAAATAGATAAATAAAACTGCATATTATAAATAAATAGATGGGTAAAAAACACTGGAGTTCCAATCTCAAATCTCTTTGATGATCTTCTCTCCAAACTAAAAAACCCTAAAACTTTGCTGTGAAAAGAATACAATCAAAATTCTCTCTATGCCTCTAACACTTTGGCAGATTATATAAACTTAGGTTAAAACTCGTAAGGGGTAAAATCGTCATTTGGTGATGATTGGGCCTCAAGTCAACTTGTCTCACGAATTGGCTCCTGAGTCTTGATAATCGATCGATCATGCAGATTGCATGTCGATCGTTCCGAGTCTCTCTGTGTCGACCTCGTGATCGATTTCAAATCAAACGCTTCTTCCAATTCTCTCCAAAATGCTCCAAAAACATCACTTTCTTCCAAAATACTCATGAACTCATAAATATGTTTAAAAGTTTCTATAGTATAGTAAATAGTAGTAAAAACACCAATATACCATGACTAAAAACATGTCAAAATCATGGTATATCATTTCACCTTCCTTAGGCTGCTTAAATGTAAGAATCTTATGACTAGAGACATATATATACTGGACACTAGCTTCTGCAAAATAAAATAAGCTTGTAACTCTTTACCAAGGACACATTTTGAGAAGAGGTTGGATTCGTGTCCAAAATCACTTTATTTACTAGCCAAGCTATTTTGGATCCCACAGCTTCTTCATGAGATAACACATCTGTTGTAGGCCTTCAGAGAGATGCTTCTGAACTTAATGCAGACTTAACAAGAACTGCCACTGCATTAGGATCTATCGGTACACAACCAATTTTTTATATCAGTTCATTAGAGAAAAATTATCCTTCACCAACAACTACATTTGCTGCGTCAAACCAGTATAGTATTTATACTCTTACTCCTTTAAATCCACCACTAGTCTCAGATGTTTCAGTATCACCATTACTTTTCTGTAAGAAGGAATGAAATTCTTAAATGTCATTAGACCAATTAACCAAATGTACTAAAGAAATGATATCTTCTTTGCAGCTAAGTCTCGAACTATTCCCTTTAACTCTTCAATCTGACTCTCCATATAAGCAATCTTTGTGTCTCCATATTGAAGAAATGATAGTTTAGTAGCCGTAACCCCTCTACCAAACCCTCTTACTCGCCTAGGTTTGTCTTTTCCCAAAATCTTGCTCATAGCATCTTCTCTTATGTTGTCAGCGGCTAATGTAGAGCCCTTTTGACTATCAAGTGATTGTATTTGTTCCTGATACAAAAATTTATACACAAGATATAACTAATTGATCATTATACATTAATCATACAAAATATAACAAGTTCCATAAATCTTACATTAGTCTCAACAAACTGAGGCTTCACAGGTCTACCATCAGGATGAGTATGTCCCCCAATCCATACCTGATGCCTACTTACCTTACTTGAATCTTGGATCTTTTTTTTTTCTCTATAAAACATATACATATCTCACTACCATTTTATCCAAACAAACTGTAAATTAATATATAGAAGTTTGAGTACGCTTTTTACCATATCATAAGCTAAACAAAGCCTTCTTTTGCAACTGGTTGTGTGAGGAATCTGATTTTTTCTCAAATCTCTATAATTGTTACTTATTTCCTGTAATATAAATATGAGTGTGATTTAAACTATAAGACATGTCATATAAACACGAAAGTTACTTAGTTTAAGATAATTAACCACGAAAGATTTGATAGTCTTGCTTATAACCCAAGAGTTCCACACTTGAATGGATGGACTGTTGCTTGGTTTTAAATCTATTTTCTCAGAAGTAGTCTTCGCAGCACATACTTGTGTCACTAGCCTTGACTTCACAGCCCTCCACAAACTTCCCAAGTGCTTGAAAATTATAGCATTCTGCCACTCTTCTTGCAAGTTAAACCTCCTCTGCATCGAGATAAAAAAAAGATCAAACATATTTATAATTTCATGCTTGTTCTACAAAACTTAATTGCGTATATAAACAGACCAGAATTTCTTACTACATTATTTCTCCAATCTATAAGTGTTACCGGAACGTTTTCCCTCACAAGAGGACAAAGGAAAGATAATAATGTCACTGAACCAGGTCCAACATGCTCACCTAATTCAGTGAATGTAACTGCAACCTTTTCATTAGGATTTTCAGCCACTTTACGCATCTTTGTTGGTCCTCTTTTAATTTTTTTTTTTACGTCATCCTCCGGTAACACAACTCCTGCAGTATTAGGAATTTCATCATGTTGAGCATTACTAACTCCATCTTCTTCCATATTGAAAGCTTCTTCTTTCTTTCTTGTTCTCAATCTCATCATTTTCTTCCTCTACGTATTCACCTTCTTCTTCCATATTGACATCTTCTTCTTCATCCTCCTTCTATTAAATATTGGCATCTTCTTCTTCATCTTCCTTATCATCTTCAGCCTCACCAGCCTCATTGTCATTACCCATATCTTCTTCCACAGCATCATCTGCCGGAGTTAAATCTTCTCCTCATCATCTTGTGGAGTTACATCTTCTACCTCATCATCATCCGTAGTTACATCATCTACCTCATCATCCTCCGGTGTTACTTCTTTAGCAGTTAGTTACTTCTTTCTACCCCTTCTTCTCTTAGTTACAGCCATTGTCTTTTTTGGGGAATCCACTTTCTTTGCTATTGTTTTTTTATTCACCTTTAGTTTGTTTGGGGAAGCCGCTATATTTTTTGAGGAATTAGCCATTGTTTTCTTTGGGAAGCCACTGTCTTTTCTACCTCCAAACCTAGATTATGTCTACTACGACAAGAACCGACTTGTCCTACTCCTCTTGTCTTCGGCGACAATTTCTGAAAAAATCAAGCGAAATACACTAGATCGAAACCCAAAAGAGTCTAAGTCGAAACCCAAAATCAAAAACTTCCACATGCATATTCAATTAATCTAAAAATCCTTACCCAAAATAGTCTTAATCAAAACCCAAAATCACAAGTTACCACATGCATGTTCACACAAACCAAGAATCAAAACCCCAAATCAAAATCTTTTTCAACTCCTGTGATGATAATGAAGAACCGAGATTGATGAGAAAGAACAAAGAAGCTACGATTGAAGAAAACATACCTTTTTAAGCTTCGATCTCTCAGAGAAACAAAGGAGAAGGTTTTGTTTTGGAAAACTTCGTTTTTAGAGAAGTGAAGAAAGTTTTTAGAGAAGTGAAAAAAGAAAACTAAACTTTTATCGACGAGTGGACTTATATATTAAAACTTTAGATATATTCATTGACAATAACGTTTCCTTTTAGTTTTTCAATGTTAAGGCTCCTACACTAAGAAAATTTACGCGGCTAAACATTTTATTTTTCCGCGAGAACTATTATAGCGTTTTTGAATGACAAACGCTATACAAAAGTTAAGTGTTGATGTAATATAGCATACCTGTAAAAAGCGTTATAATCTGATGCTATTAGTACCCACATTTCTTGTAGTGTTTGGACATTTTTTCACTGATTTTTTGAACGATATCTAAAGAGTTTTAAAATTAAATAAAATAAGATTTTGTATAACTATGATTGTTTTAGTTTACTTTATTATATAATTGATTTTTATTAAAATATCAATATTAATATGACAAATATCCTTTACATTAAGTTTTATGCTGAAAACATTTGTCGCTTCCTTTAAACATGATTTCATTAAGAAAAATAAAGGTTTATCACCTATAATACTGTTTAAATACTTTTGCTAATTTGCTAAAAAGTTTAAAACAACTTAAAGATGTCTGAAAAAGTGCTTTATCACGGATTCTTCAAAATTAGCGTTAGCGTGACAACAAAAAAAGCGTTAGCGTTTCAAACAGAACTTTTTTTTTTTTTTTTTGACAACGAAAGGCTGATCTATTACTCAAGTTTGAGGTGCTCTGGAAATCCAGACCGGAATAGAACAACCAACATACATAAGGTCCCGATAAAAGGAACGGGCAGTCTTAGCTAAATGATCAGACACAATGTTTAGAGCTCGAGGAACATAAGAAATCTTAAAATCTGGGAAACAAATCCGTAGTGTCGAGATCCGCTCCAGTTCCGTCGAAAAGCTTGGCCATCCGTGAGGATCTTTGAGCATTGCTATCAATTCCTTACAGTCCGTCCCAAAGCTCTGACATGGCGAATGTTGAAGCATGTTCTCCATTGCCCACCGCAGCGCTTCCAGCTCAGAATGCAAAGCCGTCTCCACTCTACTCACATTACGCATCCCCATCAGATGACTATTTCCCACGCTATCCTTCCATTCCCACCCACAACCGGAAAATTGATCCATAGAGGTCCAAGAACCATCTATCATGCAGATATCACGTAGGCTTATGGCCTGTCGTTCAGTATCGTCGTCCTCTTGTGTAATCACAACATCCTGCTCATTAGTTTGGAACCAGGCAAGACACTCGCTCTCTGCATACCGGGCTAATTCCAAAGGGTCCCTATCTATACCTCTGAACAACTTATCATTCTGAGTCTTCCAAATGTACCATATCAGCCAGGGAAAAGGATCTCTTTCTAGTTCTGGCCCACAAATACTCTTCTTCCGCCAGAACAGATAATCCATATTCGAATAGGTGCTCTCCAAAGGGAATAAAGCTACACTGGTAGGGATTAGATGATAAGGCCCACGCTTACAGAACTTCAATAGTGACGTTTGGTTCCAGTATATAATTATCATCATATCCACAAAACTTTTTTACATCTCTCATTTTATTTTTAGCCGTAAATTACAATGACTGATTGGAACGCAAAGCTTATCTTGTGAGTCTCTACCTCTCACCCACCCCCTCTTTCTGTTCCTTAATAATGAAAGATAAAATAACAAAATCACAAACGTTCCTTTGACGTTGTTGATAGAATATTATCCATTATATTTGCAGGATTCTGAAGTTATTTTGATTTTTGTTTATCTTAAGTTGCGTTGAATCTGGAATTAATTTTATAATCCTAGTTTCATTCCTCTGTAAAAGTACCAGATCTAGGGAAATCAGAAATTAAGGGGATTTTATGACCTATCCATGATTTAAAATCTTAAATAAAAAGTTGGTGACCCTGAACTCTGTAAAGATTTTTGATTTTCCACTTTGAAAAAAATTAGGGCTTTTTCATAAGATGATGTCGGCTAGTATGATTTTGGTCCCATGACTCTCATCTGAAGGTAGTTTGATCTTTGTCTCATGACTCTCATCTGTGGAATTCATTTTGAATTAGAATTAACAGTTTAAAACTGTAGTTCACAGTTCTGCATAAGAACCGAATATAAGGGTCAGATAATCTAGGGTTGATAATATACTGATATATCGTGCGTGTATTGTTTTAATCTTGTTGATTTAATTCTTTCTATAGGTCTAATGAAGATGTCAAGAACAAGGATGAGAATGGGAGCACAAAGGTTCTTAATTCTGTGACAAAATTTTGTTTTTCTCAATTTTGATGTCCTTCCATCGTGCCTTCTGAGAATAATAATGTCGTATCTTTTGTTAAAGGATAACATTCGTGCATCTGCTGTCTGCAAGGCAAGGCGTGAAGCCGCTGAACATGTTCGGGTTGTTGAAAAGTATCCATGGATTATCTCCTTTCCTACACAGGGCACCTTGTTTGATCTCTTCGATCCATTGCAGCGGAAGATGTATTCACTGAATCTTCCTGATATAGCTGGAATGAATGTTTGTTTCTCAAAAGAAGGGTGTTTACTTATGCGCAAATCAAGCTTTGTGGAATTTTTCTTCTTCAACCCATACTCCCGAGAGCTCATTAGTTTGCCAAACTGTGAATTGCCATTTCAGGCTATTGCTTTTTCTTCTGCCCCTACATCAGGTACTTGTGTGTTGGTCACGTTAAACCCTATTTCAGAATATCTTGTGGCCATCAGCATTTGCTATCCTGGAGAAACTGAGTGGATTAATATGGAGTTCCATGTTCTATTGCTTTTGACCCCAATATCCATAGCAACCTTATCTATGCCAATGGTCACTTCTACTGCTTCACCGCGGGAGGTGTTCTATTTGACTTTGATCCATCTTCTCGCACTCTGAATCAACAAGCATGGGATGAACCTATATTCCCTAATATTCATAATAGTGAATGGATTTATCTACCGAAGATTTTTTACTTGATGGAGCAGAAAGGAGAGCTCTTTCTCATGTATACATATGGAAGCGAGACACCAGTGGTGTACAAACTAGTCTCTTCAAAATGGGAGGAAATGAGTAGCGCTTTACTTGATGGCTTGACAATCTTTGCAAGCCGCTACTGTTCAGAGACTAGAATGAATGTTCTGGGAATGAGAAACAAGGTGTACTTCCCAAAGTATGACGTACATAACAAGCAATGTGTATCCTACTCTTATGATGAAGAAAGGTATTCTCCGTGTAAGCAAAAAGAACTAGGCTCTGTTGAGAGTCTTTGGATCGAGCCACCGCCATGCAAGGACGTTTAGATTTTATGCTAAGCAGGGATGTCAAAGTTAACTTGATTGCGCTTTGAGGTTTGGATTTTATTTTTATATATCATGTATTACTCATCGAATGTGTGAAACTTATAAACTCGTCTTTCAAATTAGAGGCGAAGCCAAATTTAGTATCATGGTTCAAACTTTCAGATTATTTTGCGTGTGACCCATTTTCATCGTAGTATTACTATTCAATATGTTGAGAGATAAAGCTTCTTAACATCATTTAAATATAAAAGGTGTGGATCACAGAATAATATTTTTTGATAGAAAGAAACGAGAACAAGTTCATATAAGATACTAGATGAATAGATAGGTGCTGTTCGTTTGCTCACCCAGGTGATCCATCTGGGTGAAGATGCAAATCAATGTTCGTTTTGTACATTAAAATGCTACATCTAGATGGATCACCCAACTGATTTTTTTAAAACTCATCTCAAATTCTCACCCAAATGAGGGTGAGTCTTGATAGTGCATCTGGATGCAGATGCATCTAGTTCAGTTTAAAATCATAAATGACAAAAATAACCTTTTAAAATAAATATAATTTTTCAAATAAAAAATACTAATTTTTTTTTGCAAATATATTTTTCCGTAAAAACCAAAAAATGATTTTTTCGCCAAAACCGTAAAAACCGAAAAATGTATTTTCCACCAAAATCGCAAAAAATACACTTTCCCGCCAAAACCATAAAAATACATATTCCCGCCAAAACCGCAAAAATACATATTCTCGCCAAAACCGAAAAATGCATTTTCCTGCCAAAACCACAAAACCGCATTTTCGCGCCAAAACCGTAAAAATATGTTTTTCCGCTAAAACCGTAAAAACGTGTTTTCCCGCCAAAACTGCAAAAACGCGTTTTCCCGCCAAACCGTAAAAACGCATTTTCTACCAAAACCGCAAAACGCATTCCCGCCAAAACGCATTTTCCCGCCAAAACTGTAAAACACATTTTCTACCAAAACCGCAAAAACGCGTTTTCTCGCCAAAACCGCAAAAACACGTTTTCCCGCCAAAACCGCAAAAACGCGTTTTCTCGTCAAAATTGTAAAAACGTATTTTCCCGCCAAAACTGCTAAAACACGTTTTTCCGCCAAAACCGCAAAAACGCGTTTTCCTGTCAAAACAGCAAAAACGCGTTTTCCCGCCAAAACCGCAAAAACGCGTTTTCCCGCCAAAACCACAAAAACACGTTTTCACGCCAAAACCATAAACCGTATTTTCCTGCCAAAATTGCAAAAACGCGTTTTCCCGCCAAAACCGCAAAAACGCGTTTTCCTGCCAAAACCGCAAAAACACGTTTTCACGCCAAAACCATAAAAACGTATTTTCCCGCCAAAACTGCAAAAATGCGTTTTCTTGCCAAAACCATAAAAACGCGTTTTCCCGTCAAAATTGTAAAAAGTGTTTTCCCGCTAAAACCGTAAAAACACATTTTCGTGTCAAAATCGTAAACGTTAATTTTTCTGGCAAAACTAGAAAAACGCATTTTTCATCAAATCATAAAAATGCATTTTCCCGCTAAAAAGATAAAAACAAATTTATTTTATTCATTTTATTAACAAATCCATCTGGATGTAGATGCAAGTTAAAAATAAAAAACAAACGAACATAGTTACATTCAGATGATTCATCTAGATGTATAGACGAAATAGAGAAACGAACAACATCCAGATGGAACATCTGGATAAGACATCTGGATGGATCATCTGGATGCATCTTTCAGATGTACAAACGAACAGGCCATACTGATTAAGGAAGTGTATATGTATAACGTACTAAATTAATATAGATGATTGTATGTTGTTTTTTGAGTAAAATACTAAAATGACTATGTAGAAGACGAAGATTTTTTGAACATTTGGAAACGAAACCCATAAGTTACATAATTTTACAAAATAAATAATCAATTGCTCCAGAAGTTACGTATTATCATCAAACTAAGTAAAATTTACTAGAAGAATCTAGCTATACGCACTAATTTTATATTCTTTTAAGCTTGATATAACTGGAAAGAAAACGACATCTTAGTGCCTTTAAATGTTCATTTGTTTTAGGCTTTGGTAAAGTAATAAGTAAAATATGAAAGTTTTCTTCTTTTTTTTGTCAGCATATGAAAGTTTTCATATGAAAGTTTTCATATGCTGGAATTTTATTCGAATGTATTACAAAGAAATTACTTAGAATTTAGAAGTTTAGAACCATAACGAATGAGGTGAAAAAGCAACATCAAATGGGCAGAACCTTTGAGCAAAATCATGTTGCTGTTTGAAACCAGAATCACATACTGAAACATGAAAAGGGCAGAGGACAATTTTATTGCAGTTTACAAGAACAAATATATATGTCTGCACTAAGATGTAGTTTTCTTTCCACTTATGTCCAGCTTAAAAGACACAAAGTAGGAAAACTACTATATTCTAAGGATCCCTTCATATGGATCTAGTGAGTCTTTCGTAAACGGATATATTCCATATCTTAGGAATATCTTATTATATAAAGAAGGGTTTTCTTCCCTCTTATGATGCCATGTCACTAAATAGGATAAAGAGAAAATGACACATGGCATGTAAAATTATTATTACAAAAAATAATGTTTAATATTAACCAAGGCTTATTTATGTGAATGCATTTATCAATTTTTTTTAAAAAAAAGTAGGAATCTTTTTATTTTGAGATAAAATATATTAAAAAAATCATAGTATCCATGAATTCAAAAAAAAAAATAAGCTGAAAATAATCCATAATTTATATTCTTAGATATTTTATTTTATCAACATTGACAAATGTTAGAATTTACTGATATAATAAAATAACAAATTATAAATAGGGAAAAAATATTATTAATAAAATAACAAAATATAAATAGTGAAATTTAATGTTCTTTTTATTTTCAATAAATTTAAAAAAAAAATCAGATACTCACTAAATTTGAATATATATATATATATATATATTTATTTATGTGTGTATATGACTAGATTTTTAATAGTAGCACATTAGAAATTAATATGCATTAAATATACAAGGAGAAAAATAAGAATACAAACTAAATCAAAAGGAATAAACACCTCAAATAAATACAAAGATTCCCACATAAATTGGCTGAAAATAATCCATAATTTATATTCTTAGATATTTTATTTTATCAATATAGACAAATGTTAGAAATTACTTATATAATAAAATAAAAAAATATAAATTGTGAAATTTAATGATATTCTTATTTCAATAAATTAAGAAAAATCAGATACTCATTAATTTTGAACATATATATATATATATATATATATATATATATATATATTTATGTGTGTGTATCACCAGATTTTTAATAGTAGCACATTATGAATTAATATACATTAAATATACAGGAAAAAAAATCAGAATACAAACTAAATCAAAAGGAATAAACACATCACACAAATAAAACTATTCTCACATAAATTATATTGTATGTTGTTGTGAAAAATAATATTGTATACACACTAAACTTATATCAATTACTGCGTAAAACATAATCGGACACATAAAAATAACTATGTGCTTTTATGAAAAACAAACAAAACATAAAACATTATAGTACTAAAAATAATATAATATTACAAAATATGTTTGACAGTAGATAAAAATAAAAATGTCCAAAATATAAACAGACATCAAATTTTGATAGAGATTGTGAAATGTTTAAGTAAACATGTCATTCATTTTACTATAGACAAAGTAAACACTAAATAACCAACAATTATCTTGAAACGAATACACACAAGATGAAGACAAAATAAATATGAATATCAGGCATATAACCTGACAAATGTCATTAGCTGAACACCCTCCTGTCTCATAATCTTTCACCTCNTCAAATTTTGATAGAGATTGTGAAATGTTTAAGTAAACATGTCATTCATTTTACTATAGACAAAGTAAACACTAAATAACCAACAATTATCTTGAAACGAATACACACAAGATGAAGACAAAATAAATATGAATATCAGGCATATAACCTGACAAATGTCATTAGCTGAACACCCTCCTGTCTCATAATCTTTCACCTCTTAACACCACTTCCATGGCCGCTAAGATCTCACGGTTTTTTTCTGGTGAAATACAATCAGAAAAAATAAATGAAGAAAAGAAGAAAAAAAGAGAAAATATTTTTACGTTCAATATATCTAGCACAACGATGAGTGTGCAATTATCTCTTTTAAAACAATAATAAAAAAAAAGTAAATGGGAGTAAATATATTTCCACTTGATTGATAGTTTTTAAGAATAAGTTGAAGAAAAATTTGCACATAATACCCTAGGCCCAAGAATAGAACTTGCATAAATACACAGCTATATCATACTGATCCATATAACAAGTCCCAATAAAACATGAAGTGAACCCTAAATACAGCCACCGAAACTTTCAAACAATTTAATAACTTCTAAATCATTATAACTAATATTTTCTTTTTAATGAAACAAAAAAAATGACATTAATTTTTATGTTAAAAAATAATCATTTAGTGAAAATGTTTAATATAATTAAAAAATAAATTTATAATTATAATAAATAAAATTAATATAATCATAATAAAATTAATCATTTAGTGAAAATATATAATATAATTAAACAAATAAATTTGTAATTATAATAAATAAAATTAATGAGAAAGAGGATAAATCAATTTTTGCTATCAATCTTTATACATTTCATTAGATTTATACCAACGAAATTAAAAATACCGAATCTCACAGTTTTTTTGTTTCTTTTTATTACCAAATTTACGGTTAACCTAGAATACAAAATGATATAAAAATAATTAACAATTAATACATAACTAAAATAATTTAAAAGCCAAGAACTAATAAGATATAAAAAATAAACTAATTAAAATTTAATTTTGCTATGTAATATAACTTGAGTTTAATGAAAAGTTTTTTTCATATGTTTATTAAAAAATTTAATAAAGATTTAATAGTTAGGTAAAAGTTA